GGCACGTACCCCTGGGTGGTGGACCGCGTGGTGTTCCCCACCATCACCCTGCTGCCCCCGGTGCTGGTGGCTTTCTGCACCCACGACCTGGAGTCCCTGGTGGGCATCACGGGGGCCTATGCAGGCACGGGCATCCAGTACGTGATCCCCGCCTTCCTGGTGTACCTCTGCCGCAAGGACACCCAGCAGGCCCTCGGCCCCCGGGCCGCCAACAAGCACAGGTCCCCGTTCCACCACACCTTCTGGGTGGGCTTCGTGCTGCTCTGGGCTTTCTCCTGCTTCTTCTTCGTCACCGCCAACATCATCCTCAGCGAGACCAAGATCTGATGGCGGGCATGTCTGCTGACGAGAAGGGTGGGGCCCCGCCGCGTCCCCCACCTGCAGAGACCGTGTCCAGTTGCCTCCCAGGTCTCCCTCCACAGGGTGGGTGAGGCCAGGCTCTGGGAGGGGACCCTGCACATCTAGCTGGGATGTCCCCACCCCGGCTTCCTTCCGCCCAGCCTGCACCTCGCCACACAAGGCTCTCCCAGACTCCAGGACCGGCTCCCGGAGTCACCCCCTGCTTTACACACACTCCCCATCACCCCGCCACGGGCGGGCTCCTCTCCCTGCTCCGTGGAGACGCAGCGCTGGCACTGCCACTATTTATACTAGTCTCCCTGTCCCCTACTCCCAGCCCTCCGCCTCCTGGTCTGGGAAATCCACTTCATAGACGCTGCCCCTCAGGATGAACCCCGGGCCCCAGCCCCCCTCCCTGCTGGCCCGCCCTGATGACATGAACAGGAGGTGCTGGTGGGCACCAGGTTCCCCAGACCAGGACTGTGAGGCCCCTGCTGTGGGCGCCAGCTCCTGCTCGGGGCTCCTGAGCCACCACAGCACAGAGCAGCCCTCCCACAGGCGCAGCAGCGCGTACAGGTTGAGCCCAGAGCTGTGACCCCTGGAAGGGTCCTCTGCTCTCTGACTGCCCTGCTGGGGTGCTTGGGGCCTCCTGCAGGGCAGGGGGCAGTGTGTAAGGGCCAGTAACGGGGAGCTAGCCCCACCACCACAGCTGCGACTTGGGGGCACCACGGCATGTAGCAGTGTGTGGCCTCTGTGGTCCACCCTGTAGGCAGCCAGGCCTGCCCTGCCCCTGCCCCTGCTCCGCCACTGACAGTGCCAAGCTGTGGGTGCTCAGTGCTCACACACTGCATGTCCCTTGGGCGCCATGGGGTGAGTTGGAGCACAGACCACCGTTCCCATGGAGGGAGGGCCGGGTTCCCACCCACCTCCCCGCTGGCATGCATGCACCTCCTGGCAGCCTTCCCAGAGCAGGTGACTGATGAACTCTGCATTTCAATGTGCCTTCTGCTTCAGGCCTGGGCTCCTTCTGACCTTCCTGCTGCCCCCACCCTGGGCCTGCCCCCACCTGTCCCGGAGCCCAGCACTGGGCCAGGAGCTGCCTCTGAGCGGGGCGCTCAGGCCCCTGCCCCTTTCTCTCGATTTCAGTGCCTTGCTCAGCCCTCACGAGGGAACTTCCGCTGCCTCCCCCGCATCGCACCAGCTTTGTTTCGTGGGCAGAGTGGCGACACTGGGTGTCCTGGGGCCCGTGGTGGTCTCGGGGTAAAAGGACACGGAGTCCACTGGCAGCACTAGCCCCCACCTTTGGCCCAGCCTGTGAGAACCCTGTGACCCACTTTCTCACTGTGGTCCCACGTCTTCCGTTCTCATCTTGTCCCCGTGTGTCATCGTTTCCCGTTCACCTCCATCTGCCAGCGTGGCTTCTTTCCAGGATGCCCGGCCTGAGGTGGGCAGAGCAGGGAGAGCCTTGAGGTTGACCCGCCCGGTGGTGCCGGGCCTCCCTGGAGCTGCCCCGCTGCTGACAACTCAATTAAAACATCTGTACTTACCTTCTCCGTTACATTTCCTTTTGCTTAAGGACAAAGCAAATTAAATCACCGCTTCCCCGGTGTCACCCCAAATTCTGGATGTGCGTGTATTAGCGTCATAAAGCCCAGGGTGATTTATGTGGCAATCTGGAGCCACAGCGGTGGAGTCTGGTGGCTGCAGTTCCCTCCCTGCCAGGCAGCCCCGTCCTGGAGGGAATTGGCCCGAGGTGACCACATCACTGATAGCAAGCCGGGTGCACCCCACTGCCACTGTCTGGGCTGCGAGTCCCACTGTCTGTCCCGCCGGAGGTCAGATGGGGTCACAGAGCCACGGGGCCCGGTGGAGGGAGAGGACACGTCCCAGGGGATGCTTGCTCACCGTGTGCATCAAGCACATTTGTCACATCTGCTGGGTGAGGGGGCAGTTGGGTCATGGTTTCCACTTTCTAGAAGGGCCCCAGGGGGGTCGGAGGTGGGAGGGCAGAAGAGGAGGCCGGCCCGGCCTGGCCCAGGTGCAAGCTTCACTGTGGAGGAGACAAGACTCCGCAGCCTTCACGCAACGTCCTCTGCCCACCGGCCCCAAGGTCAGGCCAGGCCAAGGTGGGAGCTGGCGTTCTCTGCCCCGCCCCCTGCCGAGCCCTGGAGCTCCGTGCCAGCAGCTCCTGCTGCTCTCTCACCTGCGGCCAGAGAGGCCGCTTCGGGCGGATGGACGGGGCAGGTGGCCGGCGGGGAGGCCCTGCTGAGCAGTGGAAGGTGGGCAATGGGCGCCTTGCCAGGCCCTTAGCCACACAGCTGTTCTCGCCACAGGGGGCTGGGAGCAGCCCCAGCAACAGGCTGAGGCTAAGCCCATAGAGATGAGGACAGGGCTGCCCCTCGGAGGGAACCAGCCGAGGGCGAGAACCGAGCAGGGCCAGGCTCTAGGGCTGGGAGACGGGGACGCAGGCACCAGGCCTGCGGGGGCTTGGGTCCTGAGCAGGACTGAGGCCTGGCCCTGCCATGCTCATGGCTGCTGGAAAGCCTCTTCCAAGGCCAAATTCAGGGCTGCAGGGGGCCACAGACCCCAGACTCGCTGAGAACGTCCTGTTAGGGTTCCCAGGCACCTGTTGGTTTCATAGCCTCCTAATTAGTCAAGTGTTTTCTGGTGACAACTGCCTGCTACAGTTCAGAAACGGGCACTGAATTCTCGGGATCTAGGGGGCTTTGGGAGGGTGTGGTCTCTGAATCCCCAACCCCAGGAAACTTGACAGCCGTCTCCTTTCAATGAGCCAGGCTGGGAAGGGAACCAAGGCCTGTACTCACCGCCTCCCACAACCACATCAAAACTACAACTAAAATACAGGACAGCCATCATTCAGAACCGCCGTAGAGCTGGCGGAACGGAAGTTCTACAACTAGAGAAGAAAAGGAGAAAACACTTTGAGACTGGTGGGAGGGGCGGAGCCTCAGAACCAGCTGGTCTGACACCCTCATGCGCCTTTTTCTAATTGGGAGGGAGATGGTCTATGCAGAGGCCCCCCATGAGGAGCAAGGGGTCCGAACCCCACACCAGACCCCCCAGCCCAGGCTCCCAGCACTGGGAAAAGAAGTCCCCGTAACTACAGGCTGAAAAAACCAGCAGGGATTGGGGGCTGAGAGACACGGAGGCTGCTGGAGACACTGTTCCTTTTAAAGGGCTGGCACATGAGCTGAACTTACAAGGTCCCGCTTCCTCTGCGCTCCAGCGCCAGGGCGAGGCTCTGGGGAACCCAGACACAAACAGGGAGGAACTAGATTGTCTGGCATCAGGGCAGGAACTTGGCCGCGGCTTTCTCCCAGATGGAGATGCTCCCAGAGGTCATTGTTCCTGTGCTAGGACCTCCCAGGTGGCAGGGCTGACTGGCAGCCATCTCTGTTTGCTCCACCCTGGTGACTCCCTGAGACCCCGCCCCATCCAATTTACAGCCCCACCCAACCTGTTTGCATATGAATGGCCTAGCCTTGCTCAGGCTTCAACTGCTAAAACCTCTAAACAAGCTGCAGCTGGCTCAGCGCCCCCCAAGCCTATCAGTAAAAGGCCCAAGACCCGGCACTAGCAGGAGCCTGCCTTGCTTCCCAGCTGGACCTGGTCTGGGCACCTCCAAGCCCAGTACAAGTAGCTCCTGCAGGGCGACCCCAGGCAGTGGCTGACTGCACCTCCCTGGAGGCCCTAGAAGCCCGCGCACCCCGTGGACAGCTGCAGACCATAGCAGATTACAACTCTACACATCCATGAGCGACACACTCAAGGGGCAGACTCAGTGAGCACCAAAGCCCCACTGAAGCAAGTCCTGCCTCATAGAGGTGTTTCCTACACAGCAGCTCTCCCACTGTAGCTGCAACTGGTCCTCACAGCCGCCAGTTCCTCCCAGTGACACCAACAGCAATCAAGGCTCAACGACAAGACTGTGTACACAGCCCACACAGGGACTTTCAAGGATCTTAGTGAGAATGTCAAAGACATGAGAAAGAACCAGTCAGAAATGAAGCAAGAACTAACTGAAATAAAGAATAAACTTACAGGGATTCAACAGTAGAGTAGAGGAACCTGAGAATCAAATCAATGATGTGGAATATGAGGAAGCAAAAGAACACCCAATTAGAAGAACAACAAGAATACAAAAATATGAAGATAGTGTAAGGAGCCTCTGGGACAACTTCAAGCGTACCAACATTTGCATTATGGGGGTGCCAGAAGGAGATGAGAGAGAGCAAGATACTGAAAACCTACTTGAAGAAATAATCACCTGGTGAAAGAAATAGACTTACAAGTCCAGGAAGCACAGAGAGCCCTACATCAAGACACATCATAATTAAAATGCCAAGGGCTAAAGACAAAGAGAAAATCTTCAAAGCAGCAAGAGAAAAGCAATTAGTTACCTACAAGGGAGTACCCATACGACTGTCAGCTGATTTCTCAACAGAAACTCTGCAGACCAGAAGGAAGTGGCAAGAAATATTCAAAGTGATGAATAGCAAGGGCCTATAACCAAGATTACTTGACCCAGCAGAGCTCTCATTTAGAATTGAAGGTCAGATAAAGAGCTTCACAAACAAGAAAAAACTAAAGGAGTTCATCACCACTAAACCAGGATTGCATGAAATATTGAAGGATATTCTTTAAGAAGAGAAGGTTGGGAGCCGGGTGGAGGGGGAGCAAGTGGGGGGATAAGGGGGGGCGACTGTAATACTCTCAACAATAAAGATGAAAAATAATAATAAGCTAAAAAACAAAGAGTCAGACTGAAGCCCGGTCTCCTGGCCAAGGGCATCATGCCTGTTCTTTTCTAAGCTCTGCGCCCTCCTCCCCCCTCCCCCCGACACACACACACACACACATCTGGCTCCCAGGAAAAAGGTGGCGTAAACATGAGCTGCTCAGAAAGACAGCAGGGGGCCCGGCGACAGCAGCAACAGGCGGGAACAGGTGAGAGAGTGAAGATGCCCTGTTCCTGAGACCAGTGACCAAGGGCCTCTCCTGGGTCCCACCAGCATTGGGGTGTCTGTCTGGGTGGACCCACCTTGCTCTTTGCCACACAGGCCCTTGTGTATGATGACTGGACATCTCCGGCCTCCCTGACATGGTCACCCCCTCCTCCCTCCTGCCAGGCTTCGTCCCTTCCCCTGGGTAGTGCAGGACCCTCCTCATTGCCCCCTCGGAAGGGTAGGAGGCTGGGAAGCCAGACCAACCCAGCTCTGACGCTGCAGAGAGCGTCCTTCCTGCCCCTACTTCCCATCAGGCTCGCTTGTCCCCAGAATTCATTCCTAGAGAAGGAACGAGGCGGCCAAGAGCCTGGCCCCAGGAGCAGGACTGGCACCTCCTTGGAGCCGGCCAACAGCAGGCTCCGTTCCACATTTGGCCCCTAATTGTCTTTCCAGCTCTTGGTTATTAATGATCCTGGGCACGGAGCAGAGCGGAGAGCAGCCTGGACCTCTGACTCCTCCCAGCCCCACCTGCTGCTGCCTCAGCCCAGGGCTGTGCTCAGACCCCAGGGGTGGAAGGGGTCAGGCTGGTGGCCGGCAGTTAACCCTCTCACCACCAGTGGCTGCCACCAACGTCAAGCTCCCTTCCAGGTGCTGGCCTGGCACTCACCTAGACTCGTACCCGCCGCCTGAGACTGCCCCAGTCCTGGACCTGGGTCCATGGAACGCTGGAGGGCAGAGAACACGAGGCTGACAGCAACGGACCGGACCGGCCGCCCGTCCTGGGGGTGCCAGGCTCTTCAGCCAAGAATGGGAGGGGTTAGCAATGTCCCACACGCTACCGTTTCAGCTCTAAAAACCCAACAGAACACGGCCAGCTTTCGTGGCCCCGTCCCAGCAGTGGAGCCTGGAGACTGACGAGGGGGCGTGAGGAGCCGTGTGGGAAAGGGCACTGGGCAGGGGCTGCTCGCGGTGTGGGCATCCAGCTGCCCTCCCGGCCTCCTCCCCCCTCCATGGGGCTAATTTCTGCCCTGCCTCACTGAACTTAAACTTGTCGAGAATGGCAAGGCCTCAGGCTTTCTATGCTCTGCAGTTAAGGGGCCTGATGGCAGCCATCACGCTCACCGGGTTCGTGTTTGTGGAATGAATAGAAGAACGAGTGCCTGCTCGCTAGCTTCACAGCCATTGTGGGAGCTAAATGGAACCGCAGAGGTGGAAACATTGAGAATTTCAAGCAAGAGCCATCAGGCCCGGGGCTGATGACATGTGACGGAGAAAGGAGGGAGGGCCGGGAGCCCCGGGGGAGGAGCAGGACTGGGGCTGTGGGCCGATTCTCTGACCTCCTTCCCGAGGAGTCCCAGAACCGGCGAGGCTGAGCCGTGCCAACCTGGGAAGCCCCTGTGCCAGGCTTCCAGGACCAGCAGGCCGTGCAGAGCCATCATGGAGAGAATGCCAGCAATGCCACCAGCCCCACAACAGACCTCCCTCTGCGTCTCCAGCACAGGCTCCCAGAGGGGCTCCTGGCAGGAAGGACACCCACAGCCCCTGGCAGCAGCCTCTTTTAAAGGAAACTGCAGGAGAAACTCCATCATCACCACCAAGCCCCAGGCTGAGCATATGGGTCACACCTGGCACCGGGTGGGTGGGCCTGGCTCTGAATACCACGTGGCTCTGCCCCTGGAGCCTCCCTCAGCCTCTCCTCCCAGACACTCACCCAGAGGGAGCTCTGGCCTGCTCTAGGCAGACACCCCGCCTGGGATGCTCCCAGGATGCTCCTAGTGTCCAAAAGATGCAGAATGAGGAAGCCAGGATCAGTGGGTTGTAAAAGGTTTGTTTAATGTCCCAACACTCTGAGAAGAAACTCCAGCCAGCGGAGCAAAGGGGCGGAACCGCCCTGCCCCATCCCCGAGTTCCAGCCGCCGAGCTCCCACACCAACCAACCCGCCCCCGCAGCCAGGACCAGGACTGGCTGACAGCAGGAAGGGAGCCCCCCTGCTCCCTGACTCCAGGTCCTGGGAAGGTTTGGGCACGATGAGGGGACAGCAAGAACCGAGCCCACACTAGGACCCGAGCTGCTGAGGTCACTCAACTGACCACGGAGGACACTGTCACTGGGCTCCATGGCCAGGATTTCATGGCAAAAGTTAGAAGAGCCCCCGCCTGCCCGCCCCTAACGCTGGCAGCGCCACGAGGAGGACCCAGCTGACCAGGAGCCAGAGCAGGGACACCTCACACTTCCGACTCCAAGCTGTTGATGCGCCTCCAGGTGCAAGGTCCCAGGAAGCCCTGCGTCCCACAGGCCGCCCTGCTGACCTCTCCCGGCCCCCCACTGTCCCTGTAGCCTGTCCTCAGCCCCAGGGTCCTGCTCCTGTGCCCCGGAGGCCCCCGGGCCCCAGCAAGCCAGGGGCCACGGCTGGCACAGGGCGGGAGGTGAGGGCAGACAGC